GTTGATCCTGGATCTATAAAAACCAAAACTGCTTTACCATATTATTAAAAAGTACATGCAATAATCTATGGATCATCATAATCTTCCTCAATCCTAAAATTGTAGACCCGGGTAATTGAAAGCATCTCATGTTGAGTGGATGACTCAGACTAATTTCTTTCACGACCTCTGCCTCTACTTCTCTGAGATACCGTAGCAAATCTCTTTATTTGTGTAGGCTCATCAGTCATGAATGGACAATATCAAATAAAATGTCATATTCCACCACATCCAAAGAAGGCTTCGGAGACCACTCGACATACTCCGGTATGATTATTTCCACAATGCGGACATTGTCTTGATGAACTTACATTTGATCTTATAGTAGAATATACAGCTGATTTGAACCTATTCTAAGGTTGAAAATCAGATTCGCTACTTCTCTTTGACGGTGCTGAACTCGTTGAATCACCAACTCTCTTAAATGTTTGAGCTTTCTGATCCCCAAATGTCTCATTCTGAGCTCTCTTAAGAGCTTTAGCACGATTGACCACCTCTTGAAACGAGGACAAATTCAAAATTATTAATAATTCTTTTAGTCTAGGGCGCAAGCCTTCACCAAACCATTTGCATGCATCATTTTCAGTCAGAAAAAGTTCGGTAACAAAATGACTTAACTTATTAAACTCGCACTCATATTCATACACTGTGTGATTCTCTTGCTTTAGGCTCATAAATTCTTGTTTCATTTGTCTAATAAACTTGTCACCAATATACTTGTGCTTGAATTCTTCTAAGAATATGGACCATGTCACTTGATCACTTCTCAATCTCATGGTGACATTTGTCCACCATACTCTAGCTTAACCACGCAACAACGAAACTATTCCATTTAATTGATCCACTTCAGAGCAGTGGATTCCATCTAGCATTATCTTAACATCGTTCAACCAAAGGTCCACAGCAACAGGACCTTCTTCAGTTTTACCCTTAAACTCGGGTGCTTCTAACCCTTTTAATTCCTTAGCTACATTTACTCTAGGAGTTGAGAGAGCATGGGGTTGAAAACGCGTCAGAATAACGTTCAACGTCATGAAAAATAACCCTTGCTCTTGTACAGGTACTACCAGAGGTGTTCGCTCTTCACCCTACCTGGCCAAAGAAGGTGAATTGTTACTACCTTCAAGTCTATCATTTCTCTCTGCACTTTGGGAGCTCTCGTGGTCAGACATCTAATAAACATAATCATATAACTCTATTAATAAAACATCATATTCATTACTCTATTAGATCAGAAGTTTTTCACTTTTTGTTGCATTTATACTTTTTAAAACTCATTTTTACTTCGATTTACGCCTAGAATCGGCTAAACCTTAGCTCTGATACCATTAAATGTAAAACCCCAACCCATATCCGACCCGGATAAGAACTCGAAGTGTCACATTGACCTTTTAAATCATTTTTTTCTTTTACAAGATAGTAGAAAATTCAAACTTTAATTAAAGTAAAACTGAATAATTTACATAAATATAATAGAAAAGGTTTAAAACAATCAGAGCATATACTATTTGAACTTATATTTACATGCCAACAATACTTCACATGACAAAAGAACCTATTATATATATATATATATTGCGTCTGATTTGATCCTGGTAAAGATATGCAGTCCCAACTTCTTATCCTTCTTCCTCATGCTTCTTTAATCATACGTGTGAAACACTCACATACTAAGCCATAGACTTAGTGAGGCATATAAAATCTAGAATAATACCTTTTATCACCTAATCATATTTTAAGAATTAAATACAGTCATGTAAAGAAACTAAACGACACATCATATAACCAAATCATCAGAGAAAATACATATATATCCTCATCAATATCATCATCATCATTAACATTATCATCACAATCACTATTCAAAACCATTAAACCATTTAATGCATATTGTAACACCCCCACCTCGTACCCGACCAGGATACGAGTCTGAGGTGTCACATTAACTTTTCAAACTTTGACTCTGGACAAAATTCAAAGAAAAATTTAAAACTTCCATTAAAATAAAAGCTATTTATATACATAAATTGACCAAAATAACCAAAATCGATCAGAGCATATTCAACTCAACCACTTAGTACGTGCCAACTATATTCAAAACAAACATATTTAAATCATCTATTTTCTGATCTGAAATTTTGTAAAGGAGATGCTGACATGTCTTGATCTTCTTCGCTTCTCTTCTTGCTTCTGTAACCTACGTGTGAAACAATCACACGCTAAGTCTATGACTTAGTGAGGCAATAAACATATAATGTAAATATAACTTGTAATAATGCCGTAACAATCACTGCTATCATATCCTATCACTCATACCCTTATTCATGTAACAAATCCCTATAACACATATGCAATATATCATTACATATAAGAACATATATACACACATATACTCATCATTTCCATCATTAGCCTCATTTCATTACCAATATCATTATTATTTATCTCACTTCGTACATATCCTCTTATACATAGTATTTTAACCCACATTTGACTCATTTAATCATACAATCCACATATCATCATATAAATCATAACCCCTAGCTCATATTTTGTTCTCTTATGCTTACATAGATTCTATAACATATATTATAGCATACTAACATATATCACTTATATAATTCATTTATATACAAATTTCTTATATTCTCTTAATTCAAGTTTACATTACTCTTATAACTTTTTCCTATGACTTCATAGATCTTTACCATGTAATTTCTATATCATAGCTCATCTAAGCACATCAATCTTTCTCATACAGCTTATCTCTCATATGATTATCATTATTTATGTACAGATCTCCTAATTGATATTCTATTTTTCATATTGTCCTATAAATCAATGCTAGTTAGTCTATCTCACTTTTCATTTAATACTATAAGTAAATTATAATAGTTTTCATAAACTTGACTCATGTAATTTATGTTTTACTATTATATCTTCATCTAAACATATATTTACATGTTCATAATCACTTAACTTATTTTCTTTCTATGGTTATCATATACAACATTTACTATTATACACGATTCGTGACCTTATAACTTATTTCACATATTCATACAACTCATAAGGTTCACATATAGTTACATATTTCGTTTCCATATAACCCATATCATATAAATTCATACCTCATAACATATAATATGAACAAAGCATATACACATAATACAAACTTAATCATGCTTCTATTCATGCAAACATATAAAATATTGGAAACATACTTATCACAAGTCTAATTTCCATATAATAATATGCACAATCTAATAATATGAACAATCTAATAATATGCACTCACCTTAACCTCACTAAGTTCCAATACACTTTTATGATTTCCTCTCTTTCGATCAAATCTTAACTTGATAATAGTTCTGGAACTTGTTCATGTTCGATATCTACATAATCATACATTGATACATATCAGTATCTAATTGATATACTCTAATCTATCATTTCTTAGACCAAAAGGAATGTTTTATTTCAATTTCCCCTTGAAGTGCATCGATGCATGCTACAGTGTATCGATGCATCCCTTAACATGTGCATCGATGCACTCCTTATGCATCAATGCATTAATTGCATTCGATGTTTCCATTTTTAAGGGGTGCATCGATGCACTTCCTATGCATCGATAGACACTGAACAATTTCTGGAAATTTACCATTGATGCATCGGTACATGATGAATGTGTACCGATGCACACTAGCCCAGAAATCCAATTTATACCCAAAAATCCACTCTTTTTAGCTTAATTACTTCATACATCCTCACCTACTCATATTCAAACTCATTTTTATTCATTAATCACCTATTTAACATCAAAATCCTATTCTCCATATGTAATTCAAGAATCATACTCAATTTCTAACATGTTCCAAATCAAATTTTATTACTTCATATCTCTTAATTAGATTGATGACAAGTCAAATTTAACTTCCAATTCTAGTTAAGAACTCTATTCCAAGATTTCATCCAAGAACCTCAATTCTTTAATCCCTTCTAACTCCATCATACTTTGATTTTAAGATAACGTAAGCTTTCCTTAAGCTTAGTTATCATCTAATAATCAAAATTCAATCTTAAATTTAACCAAAAACTCAATAATCAGAAAACTCACCTTTGGCTCTTGGTTTTTACGCGTGAATGAAGAAGAAAGATGAAGAGAATTCTGGAAACCACTTTGTTTCCTCTTCCCTTTCACGTGTTTAATATATAATCATATTTAAATATTTTCCTTGCAAATGACCCTTTTTCCCTTCAATTCACCTTATAATTACTAACATCTTTTAGGCAATATTTCAAAATAAATCATTGAACTATTTCATTTTCTTCTACTTTAGTCACTAAATTCTGAAACTTTACAATTTAGTCACTAACCCGGTATTGTGTATGTTACACATATAGTCTTGTACTTAACACTTGTAAGACATCATATAATATATTTCATAATATAAAAACACACTAAATCATATACTGTTTGTTTAGGTTATGTCTTTTAGTTGCTTATGTTACACTTCTGAGAACTTAAGATATTTGAGTGCATTGAGGTTGTGCACAAATGATATCACAACAACTCGTATAATTTGCACTGAGTGCCATATATAATGTCCCGAAGGACCACATATATGTCTCAAAGGACCTCGTAGAACCATTGCCTTTTGGCACGTCAATTATACCCCCAGCTCCCATATAACATACTATGGGCTTTACCATATATTTTTATTTCTTATTTATTATTTCACATAGACCAGTAATCACGTAGGTTATGTCACATAACTTATATCTCATGTTCATGTAATCGCGTAGATCATGTCACATATCTTATATCTTGTTCTCATATGTTCACATAACTTATGTCACATAGGCATGTAATCTCATAACTTATTATCACATATCTCATGAAACATTATCATATAATCACATGGATCATTGTCATGTAACTCATATCACATAGGCTCATACCATATAACATGTAATACAATCATGGCATATTCACATAATACAAGATCATAATTATGCTCGTACTCGTATAATCATATATTCAAAATGTCGGAAACACACTTTTCGCAAGTCTAATTTTCGTGTAGTAATACATATATTCTAATAGTATGCACTCACTATAGTCTCACTAGTCAACACCAATCTCTTATCTCTCTCGTGGTAAATCTCACTTTGTCAACTTCTCTGAACTTTTCTTTCGCTCAATATCTACACAAATATACGATCCATATTAATATCATAATTTGATTCACTACTAATCAATCATCAAAACTGAATCTCAAAAAGACATTTGATTCATTATTTCCATTTGACTAGTGTTGGTACTCAATGTACAGTACCAATAATTCTCTATCGTGGTATCGATACTATACTTCAGTATTGATACTTATTCTTGATTATGGAATTCATTCTAAAAATGGTACCGATACATATATATATTGGTATCGATACCCATGGTACCGATACTACCACTTTGGTATCGATGCCCTATGAAGAATTTATTAACTTTTATCTTATGGTATCGATACTGTTCATTCACTACCAATACCCATGCCCAAAATATACTCATTTTAGCCTGAAAATTTACCAATACCTATCTATATCTTTCATTTTGAACTCCTTTCCAACATATAACTTAACTACAGTTATCCATAACTACTTATAACACTTTAATACACTTTGAAATCAAAAAATTCACATAGAACACTTAGAACCAAAAATCATACCAATTATTCAACATGTTTTAAATCCATTTCTAACACTTTAGCTTTCTCAATCCAACATATAACATCAAATTTCATTTCAAAACTATTTACTAACTCCTTTCCACAATTTCACTTAAAAACCTCTTATGTTAAATCCTCTATAACTTCCAATTCTTTTAGTTTCTACATCCCTTTAAGTTTCCATAATCTTTCTTAATACTCCAATAATCAAAACCATTCGTAAATTTCAAGAAATAATTAGCTGAAATGTTCTTACCTTGACTAGGACACTCAGATAGGAAGAAGGAAGAAAAGAGAAAGATAGCTTCTAGACTTCTCTGATAAATTTCCTTTCCTTCTATGTGCCATTTAAAATACCAAAAAATAATTTTTTTTATTCAATTTCTTATCAAATGACCATTATACCCTTATCTCCTTACTTATTTGCTATTTAATCCTATACAAACCTATTCCAATTAAGTATCTGAACTTTCAAAAAATTGAAATTAGACCTGAAGTTTCAAAATCTTATAATTTAGTCACTAACCTGGTTTTTTGGGATGTTACATATATTTCTCGATTGGCCACTTCGGATGGCAATTAGACACCCCTTCTTCCTTCCAGAGGTCGTCACGTGGCAGACAAAGGATTAACAGATGAGTTAGTAGCTCTTATATATCATATGTATAACGCAGAGAAGTGTACGATTCAACATAAAATGACTTGTTAATTAAGACCGGCCTTGCGTGATACACACATACAAGAACTCTACGCATAAAATACAGTATGTGTCGCGCATGGACGACCAAAATCCAACAGTCATTGCTTCACTTGAAAACTTCAACAAGCTCTTATTTTTTCCCTTTCTTCCCAAACCCTATATATATATATATATATACCCATACCAAAAGAAACCAAATGATATTATAGGGAAACTACAAATTTCATCACTGAACTCGATTTTCTCTCCTATTTTCCTCACTGTACTTTAAAATTTTTCAATTTCTTCACTGAATTTAATACATTGAGTTTTTTGTTTATTGAGTTTTACTTTCTCTCCTATTTTGGTCACTTCTTCATTAAATATTAACGGCATTTAAAATGAAGGTGTTTTAAAAAAATTAACGAAACATCGTCGTTTTGCATCTAAATAACTGCCCATTTTAACGACGTTAACTATTCAATGGCCGAGCGGCTAAAAAAACTAGTGTATTAAGTTCAGTGAGATATTAAAAAGATTGTAAAAGTAGTGACACAGGAGATGATAAAGTTCAATTATCAAATTTATAATTATCTGATATTGTATTATATGTATGACTTTTAAACATGCCATTAAACATCCAAGGGGTCAATTCAACATTTAATATTTTATGTGCAATAATATATACTTACAACCTGCATCCTGCAGGCCGAGACATTGATATCCCCCATTTTTGTCGATTCAAATACTTTCATTTCAGTTTTATAATTAAGCTTTGTCATTGAAATCCTTTCAAAAGCAATTGATGTATTTGGAAACACTTTCCAAAATTTACCTTTTTAGTCGATTAAGTGTTAATTCAGATGATATTGACAATATCTTAATGATTTTGAGTTCAATCGTGTTTAAATACATATATTTTAAGGGTAAAGTACATAAATGGTTCTCTGATTATAAGGTATTGTTTTGTTGAGTCTACTAACCGTTAAAAGTTATGAAATGATCCCTTAAATTGTAACACGCTTTTTCCATATCCAACCCCGAACATGAGTAAAAGATGTCACAAAATATTAGGAGACAATCTACATTTGAAAACTGGTAAAATTTTGTTTCTTTCAAAAGTTTACTATTCTTAACTTTTATTGTAAAATAATTTTCATATAAAATCAAAATATAATAATATTTTGAACTCTATTTGAAATTCGTTTTTAGGCATCAACTAGACAGTTCTATTCCTTTACATATCATAAATAAAACTATCTAATATAAACCGGATATAAAATTTCTTACTAATATACTTTTCATTTATTCCTTAAGCTCATAAGCATATTAAGCATATTCATATGTTTATCATTTATTATCCAATAAACATAGCCCAAACGTAAACCTATGAAGACCCTGAGTATTCGAGTTATATATGCACTGAAGTACTTGCATATAAGGTCATGCCCACCACTGTACTAAGTGTACTTGCACACTGTAGTACTGAATTAAACTTTCACAAAGTGTCCTTGCACACTATAGTGCTGAATTAAACATGCAGATGCTGGACTCTATGGCATGCCAACTACACCTTGTCCTTCAATGACTTACTTGGAATTGAGTAGTTCATACCCGAAATAACATCATATATTTATTCATAATAAACTTCATATATAATAATCAGTGGTCAATGCATTTTATACTCAACTTTTGACATATTTTGAACATGTCAAATATATGATAAATGACATAAATATCATGCCAACGTAGATATTATCGCAAGTCCTACCCGATGATGTATAAAACATATATGTATAATGTATGGATGCCTTGCACTCACTTTGAAATTATAAATAAGCCAATTTAAGCCTCACTAAGCTTCAACTTAATCCTTCACTTTAAATTTGGTTCGATCCCAATTTTTATCACAATTTCATATTCTGGCAATTTGCACTACCTTCAAAGAAATATTATTCTTTATTAATATACACACTTAAAAATTATTTTGTTTATACCATTGGAATCTAGACTCAAATAAAAATCCAACCATATAAGGCACTTCTTCTAGTTCCACTTGTAAAATTTATGGTAAATTTTCAAAGTTGACTTACAGAAGATGTTTTGAGCAGAATTTGTTGCCCTATTTTCTGACCTATCCCTGATTAAAAAATCATATCTTTTTTTGTATACATTTTAAAATTATTTTTAGTTTGTTCTAAATAAAACTATATTGATATATGAATCCAAAGGTATAAAAAGCATCCCCTAATCATTTCTATGGAATTTATAGTGATTTTCTAAGCTTACTGTTTAGAACACAAATCTATGCAGATTTCACCAATTTGCATTTTTCAGCTTATTCACTAATTCTATTAGCTCAATAAATGCACATTTATGCATAAACCACAAATCACATAGCTATTAGGAGTCACTTCTTAAAATCATATCTTAATATTAAAAAATATATTAATTTTTCTTAACATATTAAATATATGTTATTCTTATCTTAGTTAAAAAATATATTTTAATCTTATCTTAGCTTATAAAATATATTTTATTCCTACCACAACTTAAAAAATATATTTTATTATCTTAAATTTTAAAACTATATTTCATTTTTATCTTAACTTTTTACATATACTATATTATTAATTTAAATTATTATATATATTATATTCTTAACTTAAATTATTAAATATTAATTATTCTTATCTTTAACTTCAAATTATATATTCTATTTCCCCAAACCCCGCTAGACTTCGAGCGAGAAAGTCGAGGAGACTCCCAAATGAACCAAAACATCATCAGTTCTCTTTTCCTCTTTATTTCTTCTTCGATCGAGCCTACTAATAATCACTAACGATGTTCGATAGTTTCACCTTTCACTTCAACCACCATCAATGGTAATCATGATTGTCAAAATCTAAAACCTAATGATCCCAAACATCAATATTTGTGCTCTCCAAGCCCAACCCTAAAGATCTAAAATATGATAACCTCTACAAGCTTAATGGATTTTGACCTTTAACTGCTCGCTTTGACACTAAAACTTTCCAACACCCCTAATGCCCTTGACTTCAAATTCGTCTTCAATGGCCTTCAACCTAGTTTAAGCTATAGGAAAAAATTCGGGTATTACACCTCCGTCTATAAAGACCTCTAAAGTTACGTATCCTCTGAACAGCTACATACTCTTGACCTAATCTTTATCAATCCCATCATTAGGTGGTGACAAGGTCTATTCACCTTGTCAACCTATAAATAACAATCATCACCCTAGGTCTGACTCCAGTACTAAGAGTTCGTACAGAAACCACCATATAAATTAAAGAGATGACTACGTTTTTCTCTATCTCTGAACTTATCTCATTGTTCCTCATTTTCTTCAGATTATTTATTCCCTGTTTCCTTTACAAAATCATTGATCACAACTCTCTGCCCAATTCAGAAGAGGTGAACCACCAAAAGCCATCACAATCAATTTCTCCTATCTACAATGATCAATCTTATATTAACTTATTTTTGAATAAGTGAGACAAAAAAGTTAAAGTGCCAAAGTGATAAAATGGGTATAAATTAAGGGCCAAAATAAGAATTTTACATATCAATGACTTTCTTCCTATGATTGTTGAACAAATACCCTTTAATAAGGGGTTTCATCCATAAACTTTAGAAAAGTTGAGAAGTTTAGCTTTCTACTTTAATTTGTCAGAATTTAGGGTTCGTTTGATTCTAGAAAATATTTTTTATTTTTTATTTTTAGAAAATAGTTTTCATTTACAATTTCTTGAAATTTAGAAAATATGTTTGGTTAATATAAATAAAAAGTTTAATTCAAAATTAAAAAAGTGAAAATATATTTGGTATCTATTTTTTTAAAATAGAGATGAACGAGTAGTTAAATGGGTTAATTACCCCATTCATACATGAACTATACTCGATTTTCAGTTTCATACATAAAGTTTAAAAATTCTCGATTAAGATATTCACCCATTTTCGTCACGGAAAGTGACGTTGAACCTTATAACCATGACATGTGGCAGATTAAAAAACATGTTTTTTAATTTTTTTTAGGTAAATTACAATATTCATCAGTCAACTATCTTCTCACTCTTATTTTAGTCACTAAAGTTTAAATTTCTTTAATTTAATTATTAAACTATAGAATTGCTCTTATTTTAATAACTCAAATTTATTTTATTAATATTTTAATAACTCAAATGTATTTTATTAATAACTCCTTGAATATGCCCTTCAACGACATTGAAATCCCTCCGAGGAAACTCCAGTAATGTTCCCATGTCGCCGTGAACAAACTTCATGAACAAGACGACTGCAGTTGCAAAGGTTGGTCTTCTTCTTGCCTGGCATTTAGTGAAGAATCCTTGAGCGGCAGCTGCGCCCCTGAATAGATATGGAACACATTCCCAAGTGAAACGTTGTCGTTTACCCATATGTCTTTTTGTAGTTTTTCTGGCACAATCTCTCTGGCATTTGTTGAGCTCGCAGTGATAAAGTTCGTTTCATCTTTTCTTCTTCTTCGTGAAACGGAGTTCCAGGTTGGCTCTATCATCTTCGGCTTCTTTGCTTCGTTTTTTTCATGTGTTTTTGGTTGGTTTTCACCCTTTTCCCGTAATAGTTCTTTGTCTTTTTCTTTCCTTTGAATGTGGTTTCTTCTTTTTTGGGGATAAAATCAATGTTTGGCATTAATGGGGTTATGTGCTACGTTATTTCACCAAATATTTTTCTCCAAGAAAAAGAATTTACTTTGATATTTTTACCAACGGGAAAAAGCCAATTTCCCTTTTGTTTTCACCTCTGCCTTGTTTTGTATTTTTTCCATTTTAAAGTATATTTTTGAATGCTAACCAGCTAGCATGAAGGTACTTTCACAGCAATGAATGAAAATTTTAACTTTATCACCGTAATCGTCTCCAGATTTTTAACCTTTGCAATGCTTTATTACAGGGAACTTGTTTGTTTGAATTCAGGAGGTGATTTTTGTATTATTTCACGTCGAGTGAAATATTTCATCGACTACGTGGTTTACTTCTCTTTCATGTTCAAGCACTGTGATTCAACCTTCCAATCAAACATCCATTCCTTTAATACTCCAATGGCTGAGATTCATTTTTCTATCCCCAGGTCCTCAGACTTCTCTTCTCTTCTGTTGATCTCCTCTTACTACTTACCCTCATCTTTTTGGTTGTTCACATGCTTTACTTTAGATTCTTAGGCAATAGCCTGGCAGCTCTGACTTAAACAAGCCTCTCATAAGCCCCATCAGAGCCCTTCTCGGGACTACCATATGGTTTAAGCTCTCTTTGATTGTCACTGTTGTGTTTGCGTTTGGTTATACTATTGTCTCCATTTTTGCATTTACTAGCATTAGCCAGGAGCCTTGGAAACAATTGTATGGCATATTTTGGTTAGTTCAAGCCATAACTCATTTGGGGATTGCTATCTTAATCATCCATGAAAAGAGATTTCTAGCTGTTAACCATCCTATCTTTCTCCGAATTTATTGGACTGTGAATTTCATTATAGTTTCGTTGTTCACAACATTGGGGATCATTCGTTTGCTATCTGTTGAAACAAATTAGGAAAGGGATTTGAGGTTGGATGATATAGTTTCCTTTGCTTCTTTCTTGTAGACACTCGATTTTTACCGAGATTAAAAATTATTATAAATATTAATTATATATTATTATTATTATTATATCATTAATATTATTATTACATTTTTGTTGCAGGCCCAATATAACCCAAGCCTAAACATCCATGATTGCAAGCAAGGAGAAAATGCTATGGTCCACCACAATCACCATATCAAACAACTATATGACTCACCATGATAAAGTCATGCTCGTGGGGCACAGTGATTCCCTCATTCAAGACAAGAACATGCAAGTCACAATAGCAAAGGGGAGGGGACAAAATATCATTAATAATGAGCCAACCACTACATTGAAAAAACGTTTCAAAAACAAAATAAATCCCGGATAATCCGGGATTCAACCTGCTACAACCAGATTTCATCGATCAAAGTCATCACCAAATTATTGACTTGCAAACATAAAAGGACAGAGAACAACGAGCAATAAAAGAAGGGTCTCGAACGAAACAGGAAGGGGGAAAACAGATTCAACACAGGGGGTTTTCGTTGTAACCAGAGGAGGGAACTTTTCTGCTCTGGGATTCGAAAAAGCAATGTAAACTAAGGGTATTCCTCCCTTCAATTTTTTAATGAACCGAAAGGAAGGTAGTGTGATTCCATCTTTTCATTTTTTATAATTTTTTTTATTTTACAAAAATTTAACAGAAGTACCAAGCATGGTTGTTTTCTTAGATTAGAAACCAAAGCAGTACCGAGAGATATTAATCCTAACAACCTAGAACCGAAAATCAAAATAAAAAACCAAAAACAAAAGATCATTAACCATCATCGAGTGAAGCATTTAGTCAAAACCAAATCTCAGAAGCAAATAGTAGAGGAAAAAGGGATACTCTTTTCGTTTTTTTAGTTAATCAATACCAATACGCCAATTTTTATTTTATTTTATTTCCTAGCATTTTTTTCTTTCTTTAATTCGAAATACAAAATTGAGAGAACGAAGGGGGTGGGGTTCGATTTGTTTACCTGAGACGTTCGGGTTCCCTCATAGGAATCTACCATGCTTGGGTGAGGTTATCGTCACCGATGAACGACGGTTTGTATGTTGGTTTAGTTGCTGGAATTCAAAGAATGGAAGGGTCGGTTTCCATTAACAGCCATTCGAGTGCTTTAATAAAAAAAACAGAATGAAGAGGGGAGGGATTAACCGGTCTTACCTTAAGGTGTGGATTCCACCGTTTGAATCTTGTCGTCAGAGAGGAAAAGAGGAAGACTAGGACCAAACCGTGGCCGATTTACAGCCAAGAGCGGCGTTGAATCGAGCCTTTGTGGCTCTCGGTCGAAGAAAAAAAAGAGTGAAGAAGAAGAGGATAACGACGCAGAGGATATCGGCGCAGAGGATATCGGCGCAGAGGATTTGTTTTAAAGGAAAGAAAATAATATGCTAAATGAAATAAGGGTTTAGTTTTTACCATATATATTATATATATTAGAAGAGTAAAATGATAGTGTTTTAGGGTTTAGGGCGTGATGTTTCCAATGCATGGGTTATCTATTTATTGAGCCATTTTAGTTTTCATTTTAATTCATCTTAGTCCCTAATCGTAAGTTTATATGTTTATACTTTTATCTCTGTATTTTGTGCATATTCGATTTTAGTCCTGAATGCTAATATTTCCTTTCATTTATACATTAGATCTCCAAGTTTTCGTATATTATATTTTGGTCCTGAATGCGTATGGGTTTATTTTGATTTTAGTACAAGAAATGTGATTATTTGTGTTTTGTGACTTGATCTTTGTCTAATCTCTGATTTTAACCCTAACTTTATTTGTTTATTTATTTTAGTCATTATGTTGCTTTTATATATTTTCATTATAATATACATGTGATATATATTAGTACGAAATTTAGTGTTTTCGATTAAACATGTGTTTAACTTATATATATATATTCTATATTACAGGTGTATGTAATTTATGTTATGCATTTTTTTATTTTGTAACACTAGTTAATAAGTATTATATATATATATATATATATTATTATATTGAATATGCTTTGGTTATTATAATTGTATGATGGGTTCTATGAATTCTAGATTACATGTGTTTAACTTATATATATATAATATATTATATATATAATATATATATATATATGAATAGGTTACTTTGCATAATAGCTCTTTGTATATTATTCAATGTATATGTGATCGTATGACATTTTTTTACATGAATTGTATGACATCCTCATGTGCGTAACTCGGCTCCTATTACATAATTTGATTTCTGTTACTTTTATTTTTATCATATAAGTATGTTTATATATATTTATTATCTTTATAATTTGGTCTATGTCGTTTATATATATTATATCATATTATTCATATGTGTGTGTGTATATATATATATAATTAATTTACCCTTGTATATTTATATATATTACTAACGTCTATTTTATTTTGTTTGACTTTATTTATTTATGTCATTTTATAAGATGCTTAATTTATATTCGAATTGCATTTTTAATCAATGAGGAGGGAATATTCTTTATGGATAAGAAATAGTTGAAATAGTTTTTCCGATAGAGAATTACTAATCTCGAAATTTCTTTTCAAGTTAAAGAATTTTTCCTAATATTTAGTTCAAAGCAATTAATTAAATTTCAATAAATAAATCATAATTTAATCTTATATTCAATTCAGAATTTCCACTATTACGACAACGTGTAAGCGACACAATACCAATTTTGGGCGTTGTGGGTGTACTAATCATTCCCCACGCGTAACCGACTCTCGAACCCGTTTTAAATGAATCTTTGGTAAACATAGACTAGCTTTTGTCTTAAAAAATGTTTTTTCTTAAAATTGTTTTTAAAAGACGTTTTTAGGTATTAGACCTACCTAAATCAAAGGTTGATGGCAGCTCTTTCCGATTTAATCCAAAATCACATATTTTTCCAAAATTAAAAGTCATAACTGTTTTGAAAATAATTAAACGATTGTCCCCGCCGAAAAACGGTTACGACAGCTTGGCGACTCTGCTGAGGATTTTGTTTTCAGAAAGTTAGGCTGTAAGTCGCTTACACATTGTCGTTTGGTAGAAATTATGAGTTCGAGTCTTTAGTTAACTTATGATTCTTTTATTGAAGTTTTTAATTGCTTCATTTTTTTATTATTTTACTAACATTTTCTATCTTTGTTTTTAGATTTGTCCAAAGTTTTGTTGGTTTCGTCAAAGGGATGAATGTTCTTCCTCACACACATCACGTTCATTTGCATACCGTAAGCTCACTTATGAGCTTTGTCCCTTTTAAGTTGAGATGAAAGCTTAACCTACGTGAGATAATTTTTTTCTCCGTACGGGTTTTAGCAAGTAATCTTTGGGGTTCATATACCTTATATCTACGTGAGATAAATTATTTCTCCGCATGGACATAAGGGAGTGTATCCTCTCGAATTGAACTCAATTCGTATGAGC